GCCCTATAGGAGACGCCGGAGAGTCCCCAGCCCTATAGGAGACAGCGGAGAGTCCCCAGCCCTATAGGAGACACTGGAGAGTCCCCAGCCCTATAAGAGACAGCGGAGAGTCCCCAGCGTGGGGATCGTCCCTGTAGGAGATGCCGGAGAGTCCCCAGCCCTATAGGAGACAGCGGAGAGTCCCCAGCCCTATAGGAGACAGCGGAGAGTCCCCAGCCCTATAGGAGACACTGGAGAGTCCCCAGCCCTATAAGAGACAGCGGAGAGTCCCCAGCGTGGGGATCGTCCCTGTAGGAGATGGCGGAGAGTCCCCAGCCCTATAGGAGACAGCGGAGAGTCCCCAGCGTGGGGATCGTCCCTATAGGAGATGCCGGAGAGTCCCCAGCGCTATAGGAGACGCCGAAGAGTCCGCAGCCCTATAGGAGACGGCGGAGAGTCCCCAGCATGGAGATCGTCCTTATAGGAGACGCCGGAGGCTCCCCCTGCGTGAGTGCCCAGCTCTATAGGAGACACTGGAGAGTCCCTGTATGTGAGTGCCCGGCCCTATAGAAGACACCGGAGGCTCCCCATACGTGAGTGCTCGGCCCTATAGCAGATACCAGAGAGTCCCCAGCCCTATAGGAGACACTAGAGATTCCCCAGCCCTATAGGAGACACTAGTGAGTCCCCAGCCCTATAGGAGACGCCGGGGAGTCCCTAGCATGGGGCTCAGCCCTATAGGAGATGATGGAGAGTCCCCACTGTGGGGCTCAGCCCTATAGGAGACCCCGGAGGCTCACCATACGTGAGTGCTCAGCCCTATAGGGGATCCCCCCATGCGTGGAGGCTCAGCCCTATAGGAGCCCTTTGCTGCCCCTCAGTGCCTATACTGCCCCACTGACCTCCACGCACACCGTAGGGGACCGGGCCAGACCCTATAGACCCCCTTCCTGGCCATGCCAACCCTATAGCTGCCCACCCCTGCCGCCTCCCTACCTGCTCCCGGCCCCTATACAGCTCCTATATGGCCCTTATAGGGGCCCCCGGGTATATTTAGCGCTGACCTTTGGGGCTGGCCAAGCCTGGCCCGCATGACGACAGAGCCAGCATGGGCCCCATCCCCATAGGCACCCCCCGGCCCAGTCCAGCCGGGGAGGGGGTCCCTATAGGGTGGCGGGGTCCCTTGTAGATGCCATATGGATTTGGATAGGGAATGGGGGGGTCTCTATGGGTGCTCTGTAGGTGTCTATAGGGTCCCTATAGTGGAGCAGGGGTTGGTGGGTGCCCCTGTGGGGTTTCTATAGGGTCCCTATGAAGAAGTTGGGCGAAGAAGTTGGGGCTGGTGGGAGTCGCTGTAGGGTTTCTATAGGGTCCCTATGAAGAAGTGGGGGCTGGTGGGTGTCGCTGTAGGGTTTCTATAGGGTCCCTATGGGAGCAGAGGTGGGTGGGGGTCACTACAGCGTTTCTGTAGGGTCCCTATGAAGCAGCAGATGTGGTAGCGATCACTATAGGGTACCTATGACGGAGCAGAGGCTGGCGGGCGCTGCTATAGGGTCCCTATAGGGTCCCTAGGAGGGAGCGGAGGCCGCCCCAGGTCCACACAGGGCCGCGTGACGCCCGGTGGCTCCGCCCACCCCCTTGGCCCCGCCCTCCCCTGCAGCCCCTTAGCCCCGCCCCAGGTTCGT